GGCAAGATAATAAATAGACGTTTTAACTCTAAATAAAATAGTTATATTAACTGCTAGGTACTGCTCCGAGTTTCAAAGTTCCTTTAAAAAGTTTGGTACTTGCTGTGGGGGAGGAAGCAAACTTCAACTGCGTTGTCGATGGTAATCCTCAACCTGCTGTTTCATGGTTAGAGGCGCTAAAATTTCATTGAAGTCTCATTATAATTAATCTTTTCTGTTTTAATCGTTTTCATAGTTGAATTTTTTTTGAACGATGATGGCAAAGGTCCAAAAATATAATGGATGACAAAATTGACATTGCATTATTATTATATGCTATTATTGAATTTGTAAGTCGGTATGACACCATATGAGGTCAACTTCAAGTTCATGCGCTATCGTTTAACATCGTTATTAAATTGTAGCCTATATGATGACAAAATAATAATATAGTGACAGGCCTGCCAAGCCCGATGATTTCAAATCAGCTTGGCTATAAGACACCAGAAAATTATTATTATTACTGTCGTTGTTGTTGTTATTATTATTTTCTTTTCATTATAATCTTTATTTAATTCTGATTAATTATTATTTATATCTAACAAATATATTATGATATTAAAAAGGTCTACGCTTTTAAGACCTGCATGATGAAGATTTTAACAAAAAATAATTTTATACTTGTTAATAATTGATTTAAATATTTAGCAGTTTGTTTCTTCTTCACAACTTGAACCATGCATACATGGAAACATAAACGAAGATAACTTTACATTTCAGGCAAAAAGATGATGCCGATATTTTGCCTGACGACAATGTGAACTTTCTATCAGACAATTGCAATCACTCATTAATAATAAAGTTGGTCAATCAAAATAGTGATGGACAGTACAAGGCCGTTGCTTTGAACGAATTTGGAAAAGCTTCTTTCACGGCTAATTTAATCGTTCACGGTTGGTCTAAAAAATTTAAAAGTTATTTTGAAAATTAGTACTTTATAAAAAAAGAATTTTGCTTTTGACAGAGGTTGGTGAAAATGTCGAAGTCGTGGTACTGTCGGAAGATTCAAGTAAATTTATTAAAATAAATTCACATTAAACTCCTGGTTATATATTAAACAATTATTTTTAGAAGAAAACGCTGAAGAAGTCGTAAAAATCAAACATTCTAGTACAGTCGATGTCTCTTCCAAAGGTTTGTCTGAAATTTATTTTTTATCATCATTGTTTTTTTTTTTTTTTTTTTTTTGTTTAAACACAATTAACCTTTTTATCGAACCAACAAAAACATCAATGTCTCCTCGATTCTAAATATATATCGTTCCGTCTGCAAACTTTTCAATGACAAAAGATGACAATTTTTAACAAATTAACTAAAAAATTAGTTTGTGTAATTCAAAATTAAATAAAATTGTGTAAGTTTTTTATATTGCTTCTTAGGGCGTTTTAAGGCCAAAGTAAGAAGCAGAAATATTTATTGCAAAAAAAATACAAAGCATAAATAAAATTGGAAACTATTATTGTTGCTAAGATTAAAAAAATGAAAAGCCGGAGATATTCATATTACATCAAGCTATTTAATGATCAAAATTAAATCTTTTTACTAAATAAACATTTGCTAAAAAACCAGAAGTTGCACCGGGGTTCATTTTGGCAATTCGTAGTCAAAATGCTACTGAAGGGTCGGATGTTACATTTGAATGTTTGAACACAGGCAGTCCTGAGCCAGAAGTTCAATGGTATAAATTTGTTTAAATAATTTAATCTCAAATAACAAGAAAACCTCATCAGTTACTAATTGTACTAATTTTCCACCAGGATGAAGAATGATGAAAACATCACAAATTCGCCTCACTATGTAATTGAACAAGAACCTGGAAAACAAAGTTTGTGCATAAAAAACATTACAAAGGACGACGGTGGTCTTTACAAAATACGCCTTACAAATAAATTAGGCAAATGTCAACATTCAGCTACATTGATAGTTCAAGGTAACCAAATGCAAAATTTATAAATATCGTTGAATATGAATAAAAAAATTTAATTAAACAATTTTTTATTGATTTTATTGACGCATCGTAAAAATGAGGTTTAATAAAATTTTATTTTGTTTTGTTTAATAATTGAAGAAAGAAAATATTTTGATCACAACGTTTTGATCACTATGGTAAATGTTGGTTTAACCAATTTAAATAAATAACACAATGAGAATTTACGGAGTACTGAATAAGCTGAGCACTATTTTTATTCCACAACAAAATCAGATAAATCGACGGCGTCAGAAACTGAAACAAATGAAACAGGTCAATATAATTTTTAAAATGCGTTTTGAACTTTTTATTTTTTAAAATTAATTTGTTTTTTTATTACATAAATATATATGTGCACTTTTTATTTTGTTGATCATGGTGTTTCTTTACAATTTTTAATTCATTAATGTTAGTAAATGAAGAACAGTGCTGTATTTACTAGTGCTACTTTTCATATTAGGTCACGAATTTAAATTTATAAATCTTCACATTAAAAACGATTTATTTTAATGTATACTTTTTTTTATTTAACAGAAATCGTGAAATCGAAAGTAGTAACACAGGAATCTGAACCAGGTTAGGAAATGTTTGCCATCACAATCCATTGTTATAAATTAAAACACCAGCACATTAAACTCTGTACCGGGTATAAAGCGTTTAAATAGTCATGAAGTCCATTTGATATGTTATTCAATGACTTCCAAAGTACCGCACATTTTAAATATAAAAGTAAGGCACCAAACACTGAAAATAACTTTTTGCGCATATTTAGAGAGCTCATTTTTCAATAATTAATCTATTTTTTTATTCATAGTTTTCAGACTACGTTTACTCCACCCGTATCACTGATTATTTTTTTTATTGAAATGCAAATTTATAACAGAACTTTAGATATGTAATCAACGGCAAGTTTTTTCACACAACTACTTTTTATTAACTGGACACAGGAACGAGTCCATCATTTGTTGAACCGCTGAAAAGTCAGGCAGCTCCTGTTGGCAGTGACGTTGTTTTCAAGTGCAAAGTTGCTGGCCAGCCAAAGTGCAAAGTTTCTTGGTAAATGTTCATTAACATCCGTTTACTTCACAAAAAACATAATGGCTAATGATTAAAAAACAAAAATAAAAGAGTTTTAAAATTTAACAATTAATTAATCTTAGGAAAAAGGATGGAATCGTTCTGGTTGATGACAACAAAGTGCAAATAACTTCGGAAGATGATGATCATACGTTAAAATTACTCTCCGTTGTTGAAGCCGATGGTGGCCAATACACAGCAGTTGCATCTAACGATTTTGGAAGATCATCATTCACTGCCAAACTACTTGTTCACGGTTTGAAATTACTGCTCGTATACTCTGAATGGAATATTCTGCATTAATTTCTTCCAGACCGCTTATTTCTTATTCATTGTAAACACAATGAATATTTTCAATTTTTTACAGAAGCGGGCAAATCTGTGACACTGATATCATCAGATGAGGATAAATCAGGTGAGCAACACTTAATTTTAAACGAATCTTTACACATTCAAAATTCCTCTTGACATCAAATATGTTCTGCCACGCTGACGTAAAATATGAGATATTTTGCGCATGTAGGACAATGTCATGTCTTGCATGTGAAAGTTTTGGTTCATCTAGCGATTCAAATTCGATTTGTCCTCTGCACATGTGAAATTTTAAGGAGACGGTATACAAATTGGTCAATAATTTTTTTAAAATTTCTATTACCAAAAATTATCTCTTTTTTTATTTTGATAGGATACGAAATAAACACTCAAAATTTGTTAGTCAAATAGCAAATTGTTTGAAACTCTTTGAACTTGCAAAGGAGTTTTGTTTACTTAATCAGGATCGATTTTTTGACATTTTTTTAAAGAGTTTTAACGTGATAACAACTATAAAAAATTTCAGTTAGAACTTAAAACATTTGTTAAGGGGTAACGACAACAAAATATTAGTTTTATTTTTTAAACATGAATTGTCAGAAAGATGTAGCATAAACTTTTATATTTACTGGCTGAAAAGAATTTTTTATAGTGCTAGGATTTGTTTTAATTATAATATTGTTTTTTGTTTTTTAAATTTATCCCATTTTGTCATATGATGGCCTAGTGGTTTCGCAGTGACCGGATTCGAATATGACAAAAAGATCTCCGCCTATCGCCTACTTCGTAGGTGATGCGTTGTGTAGCATGTATTCATACGTGATGCTTGCGCCTGTTGTTGATTTCTCTAAACTTTGGAAGAGTGTAATTGACCTTCAACCTTTTAACCTTTTTTAAAATTCGAGACATCTCACTCTTATCTGCTGTATCAATCTATTACTTATAGTTTGTCCATACCATTTGGGACTCATACGCCAAGTTATGACATTTAAAAATGTTATATTGCATGAAAAAATGTTCCTAAATATATTCTTCTTGTTTTGCACTGGCATCAATTATTGAACTTTTGTTTTCGTCACTCCAAAACATTGGTGTCTATCTATTGTTCAGTGACCCAGCTCAAATGTTTTATTACGAATCGAATCTTTTTTTTGTTGCCATACAAAAAGACTCTTTTAAAAAAGTTGTGACAACAAGACCAATTTTTGATAAACAGTTTGATGTAAAAAAAACGGCATTTCCAGATAGAATGTTATTAATCTCGTAAGCTGTTGACGCTCAATTTCCAAACTAGTTAATTTATTTTTATTTTGAATTGACAATTTGTGAATGTGTTTACAATTTTGATCACTGTGTGTTTTTTAGTGATAAATTTATTTATTTGAATTTTTATAATCAATTTTTAAATTTTCTTGTTAAACTACTAAATTTATTTTTTTTAAATGAACCTCCAAAGTGTGATTTTCTAAAGTATTTTTAATGAATTTATAAAAATATGTGCATGTGTTAACAATGACAATAGATTAACAATATTTTTGTATATAATTTAATTATAATTCAATTGTGTTTATTTCAAGACGATAAAATATCAAAAACTGTTACAATGGACGCACCATCAGGTTACGATCAATGATTTATGCTTGAAACTTCAAATATGCTGAATAAAAGATAAGTTGTGAGACCAGTTGAAAAGATTTTTTAAACACAAATCACTATTTAGCACAAATTTTTTAAAATAATACAGGAAAGAGTCCATCATTTGTTGAACCGCTGAAAAGTCAGGCAGCTCCTGTCGACAGTGACGTTGTTTTCAAGTGCAAAGTTGCTGGCCAGCCAAAGTGCAAAGTTTCTTGGTAAATGTTCATTAACATCCGTTTACATCACAAAAAACATAATGGCTAATGATTAAAAAACAAAAATAAAAGAGTTTTAAAATTTAACAATTAATTAATCTTAGGAAAAAGGATGGAATCGTTCTGGTTGATGACAACAAAGTGCAAATAACTTCGGAAGATGATGATCATACGTTAAAATTACTCTCCGTTGTTGAAGCCGATGGTGGCCAATACACAGCAGTTGCATCTAACGATTTTGGAAGATCATCATTCACTGCCACACTACTTGTTCACGGTTTGAAATTACTGCTCATTTACTGTGAATAAATTTTAAAAATAAATTTCTTCAAGACATCATATTTTTAGTATCACTGCATATATATGTCAAATTTTTTTACAGAAGCGGGGAAATCTGTGACATTGGTGTCATCAGATGACGATAAATCAGGTAAGTACGAACATGCTTCTTTTAAATGTTTTTAACGGATTTTTCAATTTCAATAATTTGTCATATATATTTGTTTCTGCATAAATATATGTATCTGCGTTTTTACAAAGGCCTGATTTATTGGATGCCATAGAGATGCCAATTTAAAAATTAGAATTAGAATTGAAAATGCGCATCAGCAAATTATTCTGACATAGACAAAGGATACGTAAACTTTGCTGCTTTCTTAACTTATATCTAAGGATAGCAAAAAATTTCACTTTGCAAGTATTATTTTATTAGTTGGAAAAATTATGTTAACATTTCAAAGTTTAATTTGGGGGGTATGGACTTACGTGTTGTTAACCTGCTCTCATTGTTTTATTATGTTATGTGTAAATTAAAATTTTAAAATTCGTTGCCAGTGTTAACAATGACAATAGATTAAAACTACTTTTTTTCGTAATTTGACTTTAATTTATTTGTATTTATTTCAAGACGATAAAGTATCAAAGAGTGTTTCAATGGACACACCATCAGGTAACAATAGATGACATTTTTTAAACTTTTCAAATATTCTGAATAAAAGATAAATTGCAAAATAAAGTGGAAAAATCATTTGAACGATGATAATAATTTAAAACAAATTTTGTACAATAGAATGTAAAATAACACAGGAACGAGTCCATCATTTGTAGAACCGCTGAAAAGTCAGGCAGCTCCTGTCGGCAGTGACGTTGTTTTCAAGTGCAAAGTTGCTGGCCAGCCAAAGTGCAAAGTTTCTTGGTAAATGTTCATTAACATCCGTTTACTTCACAAAAAACATAATGGCTAATGATTAAAAAACAAAAATAAAAGAGTATTAAAATTTAACAATTAATTAATCTTAGGAAAAAGGATGGAATCGTTCTGGTTGATGACGACAAAATGCAAATAACTTCGGAAGATGATGATCATACGTTAAAATTACTCTCCGTTGTTGAAGCCGATGGTGGCCAATACACAGCAGTTGCATCTAACGATTTTGGAAGATCATCATTCACTGCTACACTACTTGTTCACGGTTTGAAATTACTGCTCATTTACTCTGAATGGAATATTCTGCATGAACCTTTTCCAGACCGCTTATTTCTTATTCATTGTAAACACATTTTTCACGTGAATATTTTCAATTTTTTACAGAAGCGGGCAAATCTGTGACACTGGTATCATCAGATGAAGATAAATCAGGTAATTAATCATTGTTGTCTTCCTGAATCTAGAAATTATATTAGAATGTAAAGTTTTTTTACTTGGAAGTTTTTCAAGAATAGACGGCAAAGAATGAGAATATTTTATGACAGATTAATTTAGCAATGGATCTATTTTCATTTGACACTGTACTCTGTGACTAAAACGTTTTTGAATATCAAGAGAAAATATTGTAGCATATAAAAATTGTTTATATTTTTAAATGCTTTCATGTTTGAAAACAGTTTTTTTAAATCAATATATCAATTCAATTAATTTACAACTCTTAAATTTTACAATGATTTTTAAAATTACAATTTTGAACAAGTCAAAAATAATTTTTATAAACAACTAGGTAAAGTGACGAAGATCGTTTCAGATGACAGTTTACCAGGTTGTGCTTATCAATTTTTTTGGTATTTTTGTTTGTACCTATTACACATTTTTTTATAATTTTTTTTATTCTTCAGAAAAAGCTAACTTTGATAAACATAAGTGTATTGCAACCTGATAGCTATAGTTGACCAATTTTTAGCGAAAAATAAAGAAAATGTACACACACACACACACACATACATACATACATACACACACACAAATGAACTTAGACAAATCACACTTGAAAAATTACTGGTCGGTGTCTTTCGATTCTAAAATAATTGAGAGTACTGTTGAATCAGTTTTGAATGGCCATCTCAATAAAAATAAAGATTGGCCGTTGTATCAGTCTCGATATAGGCGGTTTTATTTGACCGAAACGGCTCTCCTGGATATATTCTCCGCCATCTACTCGACGGTCAGCGTTTGATACTGTTTATTACGAAATACTGTTGAACAGACTGGGATTTTAATAAACTTGGTGTTGTACTTGAACAGACGGAGATTTTAATAAACTTTGTGTTGTACAAATCGATTCACTAGCCAAAAATTATCTATTTCATTTTCGGCGACACCGTCAAGTTTCGAAATCTTCTGATCGAAATCTTTTGATGAGAAAACACTAGCCGTATTACTATAGGCTTTCGATAGTTTTAGATTGAACTACTACAATAGTCTTCTTCATAGAATATCTAACAGATTATTATCTAAATTTCTGAACTTACAAAAACGGGCTGTTAAAGTAATAGTTCGAAAATCAAAATTTGATCGTGTATCTCCAATTTCTGAAGTTACGCTAGTTGCCCGTGAGACAGAGAATAAAGTTCAAGTTAGGATTTTTGATTTTTAAATGGTTAATTGGTCTTGACTCTGAATACTCAGTAGATAAGTATGTTAAAAATCAATTTTCCCGTTTTATGAATGCCTTAGATCCGCAAATTCAAATAAGTTGTATATTCAAAATCATAACCTAAAAACCGCTGATAAAGATTTCGTAGTTTCAGGTCCAGTTTTTTGGAACCGCCAACCTAAAGACTTACGACAATCTGAATTATCATTAACTGAATTTAAAAAACGACTCAAAAAACAACTGGTCAGCAATTTGGCCATTGTTATTTGAAGACCAACATTGATGACGACGACAATGATAACGGCATCGTCAACATTTTATTTCCTAGTTTTTACTGCCACGAGAGCGCTGATGAGAAAAGAAGACATTATAGTTTGAACTTTACAGATCGCAAATAAAAATTACGCACACGCATATACACACGTTGAAAAACCAATATTTTTTTTTATTTCACAAGAGATCATTTTTACAATTTTTGAGTGAATATGTATACTTTTTATCAATGAAAAAATATAAATTTTATAATAGTTCATTATGTTAATTATTAAGTTAATTAAAATTTATTATTTTTGTATGATTTTTGAAGTAATATGTGATCTTCACAAATTTACTTAATTCGATAGGCTTCAGGTATTAAAAACCGATTTTTTAATTTTCGATTGTTGCTAAAACTGGTTTCTCAATTAATCATAAAAGGAAGAATGCCATAAATATAAATTTTATTCCAGGAACGAGTCCATCATTTGTTGAACCGCTGAAAAGTCAGGCAGCTCCTGTCGGCAGTGACGTTGTTTTCAAGTGCAAAGTTGCTGGCCAGCCAAAGTGCAAAGTTTCTTGGTAAATGTTCATTAACATCCGTTTACTTCACAAAAAACATAATGGCTAATGATTAAAAAAAAAATAAAAGAGTTTTAAAATTTAACAATTAATTAATCTTAGGAAAAAGGATGGAATCGTTCTGGTTGATGACAACAAAGTGCAAATAACTTCGGAAAATGATGATCATACGTTAAAATTACTCTCCGTTGTTGAAGCCGATGGTGGCCAATACACAGCAGTTGCATCTAACGATTTTGGAAGATCATCATTCACTGCCACACTACTTGTTCACGGTTTGAAATTACTGCTCATTTACTCTGAATAGAATATTCTGCATTAACTTCTTCCAGACCGCTTATTTCTAATTCATTGTAAACACAATCTTCACGTGAATATTTTCAATTTTTTACAGAAGCGGGCAAATCTGTGACACTGGTATCATCAGATGAGGATAAATCAGGTATTTAATCATTATTGATGTCTTTAATTTTGATAATTTTTTTAGAATTTAAAATTTTTAATTTGATATTTTTCAAGTAGAGACTGCAAATAAAATACTTAGATTAGGAATATTTTATGACTGGTTAATTAGAGCATTGGATTTATTTTCATTTGATACTTTAGCCTGTGATAAAAGTCGATTTTGAATATCATGAGCATATAAATGTTCTCATAGATTTCAAATGTTTTTATGGTTGAAAAAAATAATTTCATATAAACTGGTTAATCAACATTGTGTAATTTAAAACTTATAAAATTCAAATTATTTTGAAATAAACAATTTTGAACAAGTCAAAATTAGTTTTTGTAAACAACCAGGGAAAGTGACGAAGATCGTATCAGATGACAAATCACCAGGTTGTGCTTATCAATTTGTTATATCTATCCCTTGATTATATATATTATACTTTTTCATTTTTTTTATTTTTTCGAAAAATTAACTTTGGTAAACGTGGATATGTTGCAACTATAGATGGGAATCGAAACCATTTATAATGTTTCGGTTAGGTTCGTTTCGGTAAGATCTAAATTTTGAGCTCTGATGGGTTCG